TAGGTACAAAATCTCTTACTTTTAGTAGTATATCTCGTTTGACTTATAAGTTCCCCAATAAGAAAGAATGAATGTGAAACATATTTCCATTGAAATTGCAGTCGGATATACAAGAAAGAGAAAACGTAATATTACTCCTATTTCCCAAATAATATATACTTTAAAGTCCTTAATATTAGGATTTCTTACCTAATTCAAATAAGAAAAGATTTAATAATAAAAAATTTAATTAATTTGATAGTCCTAAATGTTATGATAATAACTAAATTACATTTTTGTCTAATCTAAAGTTTATTTTTAAAGGGTAAAAAGGGTGAATGACATTTCGCCAAAGCCTTCGTGCTTTTAATATAGTACTAGTTTTTATGTACGTGTGTTGCACGTAAATGTTTTGTCAATCATTACAAGAAAGAAAAATATATTAAATTTACTAAAACATTATATAAAAACGTGATAATATTTTAAACTTTAAAAATTATTGTTATTACATTAACATAATACTTGAGTTCAGAATGATCATTCATCATTCTGAACTTGAAAATATGATCGGCTTAGTTAAGTTAGTTAGATAGTGTTCGTATTTATAGTGCATGCAGAAAAAATGCAATGTGGTCTTATCTTGTCTAATGCTTCATTATAGATGATTTTATTGGTGTATGTTCCCCTTCTGTCGCTTTAGTTGTTGTCATGAACAGTTATTGCTATATATTCTTTTTAAAAGTGCAACATATAATTGTCCGTCTAAGAGTACATGTTACAAAAAATATAGATGAACACTAAGGATTGTTTATCTCTGTCTTTATCTATTTTATGACAAAACTTTTTTATTTTATGTTAAACAAACATATTAAAAACTACTTATGTATAATTAAAAAGGATATTCTTCATTTTCTGAATGTCAAAATTGAATTTTTGCATATATATATAATATGCTAGATTACGGGAAAAATAGAATTCAAGAAAAAATGAGATCTAATTGATATCCCTTTATCAAAAAGGTTAAGCTTGCAAAATCTCTTGCGGCAATGATATGTTGAGTTGTTTATGTAGAGTTGCCGTAATTTAGATGGATTTAAAGTATGACCTAGTTGTGTACCAAACGGAATTTAAGTAAGAACCCAAATTCGAAGGAATTAGTACTACATTCAAAGTCCTAAATCCGAAAGAAGGGTCTTGAAAGTTACACTTTTTATCCGATAAAATATTATATTCTAAGGGTATAAAAGTCAATCAAAATTTCGAAGATATTTTAGTCCATCAATATTTAGCTTCCTTAGATTCGTGCTTTTATAATAATACAGATATNATCCCTGTTCTTTTAAGTAAACTAGTTTCTCGTCACGTGCGTTGCACGTGTGTGCCTAATTATATAGTACATAATTTAGTAAAAATAATACCGATATTATTAGAACATAGTTTTGAGTAAATGTTTAAACTTAAAAAAGAGATTAAATAATTATACATGAAAAGATAAAATACAAGTTTCTGCGAATATGAAATAGTATAATGGATTCAAATTTCGCTCCTTGAGTAAATATTGAGCTATTATGGAGCATAAATGTTGATTACTTTTCTCGAATATAATCGTCTATACCTACAATCAATTAAATTAATACTTGTCGTGAATAACAATAGCCTAATGATTGTAGAAACGCATTAAGAGTTAACAAATCGATGTATGCGTGGTTATTCTCTTAACAATATTTATGCTATGAAAGATTTGGAAAAAAAGATCTTTTCCATACGACCAAGTAGTTTTATTAAAATTAGTTATTAACGAAAGAACACAACTATTATCAACTTTCACGTATAGATATATCCTCCTAAATTATATACTCCTACACATATTATTTAGTAAATTCCACATGATTTTATGCATGATACATATAGATTTGCCTTTTTGGCAAAACAAAAACACTTTACATTTACACATATGTTATTTCTAATCATAACATGTAAGCATATTATAGTTTGTGATCATCATTTTAATGAAATATCTATCGTATCGTTTATATAAGTTAGACATCATAAAACTAATAGATAAATAAATAATAAGTGAAGTTAAGACAGTAAACCTTATTATATCCTCATGTCCTTATTGACATGATCCTCTCAAATGATTTGATGTTTCCATATATAAAAGTCGTTGGTACAGCCTTCCAGAATTTCCAATTCGACCGAAATTGAAGAAAATTGCTCTTATCTTTCCCTTCGTGTTCATTTTTTAAGCGAGGAGATCGATGTGCCCCTAGCACATTTCTATTTATTATTGTTTGTCAGAGCAAAAAGATAAGGGTCAAAAGGATTAATTTATCTTCACTGCAGAATGTCAAAATGAAAAATTTAAGAAAGGAAAGCACAACACATTAGAGAAACTTAGTAGTAAAAGTTTTAAGCGATGTATCATGAAGACATTATACGTTAATGAGCGCATCTTGGTATAATATTAATGAGTATGTTTTTGGAAACAATATCCGAACAGCTTGCAAGACCCATTAGGTTCTTCTCTGTGTTTGCTTCCCGGCAGGAATTCACATAATCTTATGTTAGGATCGGGTAACAAGGTAGTGCGGAATTTAGTCAAACAACGGTATAATGACAATAACAAAGACAATGGAAGTTGATAATAACGACAATTAAAGAATATAAAGAAGACACAAATTTAAAGTGGTTCGGTCAAAGTGACCTACGTCCACAAGCGGAGGGGCAATTTACTATAACAGTAAGAGTATAAAAGAGAGTACAAAATTAGAGTAAATACACTAATTAATAGCAAATACCCTAAGGGAATAACCTCACAAGATCACTCCAAAGAAAGGGTTCACACAAGTGCTTCGGCTTCCCAACACTTAACTCTCATACAAAACACTCTTAATAAAGGAAGAAAAGAAGAAACAAGAAATGAAGACCCAAGTCTTGTTGGTGTGTCTAAAATGAACTAATAGCCTTCCCTTTTATAGGCAAAAAAGTCTTGGCCTCTTAGGTGTAAAAGAAGAGATATAACTTGTGCAAATGATGTCCAACACACAATGCAATATTTTTGGGTCCCAAAAAATATTGCCAATAAAGTCTACACTTTGCAAAGATACTTATACTTATGTGAGATGGACTCCATTAGCCAAAATATTGGTCTACATGGATAATCAAACAGCTATTCTGAAATTCTTAAACTTTAACTATACAGAGTTGAGAAATCTCCAATGATAATCTTCATTTATTTGTTCTCAGAATGAAGTTAGCTTATGTGGCTTTCTTGGTGCAAGAGAAAGATAGACTAAAAGGTAGAAATATTTTGAAAGCCAACGGTTGAAACACGTTTTTCATTATTAATATCAAGCATTTTAATATACACAACCCTTCAGAAATATTTTCTCCTTTTTTCATTTAAATATTATTATTATTATATTTTTCTTTAAAAAGTACGTAGGATAATTAAATTTTTAAGAAGGGTAAATAGGCTCGCCAAAAAATATATTGTATGACTTGTGTTTGTTCGAAGAATAAAAAAACAAAAATTAAAATTTACAGTAATTTGAAAAGTTTCTTTGTACTTATAATTGTCTCCTTTCATAATTTAACTATTTTAAAATTTTAAAATATACAAATATAAATTTAATATTAATTCTAAACAACTTATTTGAGAAGTGTATTTTACTAAGAGTTGTGTTGTTTCATAAATTAACTAATTTTTTATAGTCAAACTTGGTAATTAAATGTATTTATTTATTTTTCTATTTTAGGAGGATATTTTTGTAATTTAACTTTTGACTTAATGCCTTCCCACTTTAATATAGTATAGATTTTAATATTCAACCAAGTGCATCATTCAACCTTATTAGAGTATTGGGGTCAACAGATAAATTAGATGAATTCTAAAAAATATATATAGTAATACCTATGATCATAAATTCACGTGCACCCGCCCCTGCTCCTCATCTGGATTGCCAGGAGCCACCAACACAATCTGACACTTGAGACTTAGATTTCGAGCGGAAGGCCCAAATACATATCCAGCCCAATTATTTTCCCACTTTCACAAAGAAAATTGGGTAAATATCACTTTTAACTCGTGTCAGAAACTATTAAAGTCGATAGTCGAAAAGTGTATAAAATATGTATAATTTTTATATATAATACACAGAATATATATATATATATATATATATATNGTAAAAATGGTTCTAACAGGCTTTAAGCAATATTTATGGAAAGTCTCTCCATCTAAAATCATCTCTTTATATATGTTTTTTTTTCGTTTCAATTTTTCCAAGGTTTGCTCAATTAAAGTTACAACCCCGCTCCATTTTGCAGTAGTTTGTTTTTCTTCTGGTAGTTAAAGATTTTATTTACCAAGGGAAAGAAATATGTACAAGCAAGCAAAACAAAAAAAATACTAAAACCAATTTCAGTGTGTAAGACAACAAAAACTATTAAAACAATTTCATCAAAGAACTTATTTAAAACTAAAACATTTATTTTATGTAATCAATATGTGGCTGAAAAGGGGAAAAGGAAGTGAAGAAAGAAGCCAACATTTAGAAGACTATGAATTTTTGTCACTGATTAACATAATACACTAATTAATTGAGCTTCACATCATTCATCAAATAACTGAGCAATAAAAATACTATTGTTAAAAACAAAAAATATACAAACGCCACTTCTTCCAAGTGCTTTGCCCAAAAATAACAAAGTGATTTGCAAATGGGCAGTCAGGACTAGCAATTTACTAATCATAAAATTTAATCGACTGCTCTATGGTGAAGGAATAACTTCTAAAAATAATGTGATCTATACCATACACATTGGTTTACTGGTAGAACTTACGCAGAGACGGAGCAAGAATTTCAAGCTTATGAGTTCGAGACTCGTTACTGGGTTCTAAATTAATAATTTATATATATTCAATAAATTTTTAAGATAAATATAAGATTTGAATCAAAACTACTGGGTTCAGCACTCTCACTTCGCCCCTAAACTTAGTTTGGTGCTTTGAAAACCTGCATAAAGTTGACAATCTCATAGATTTTGGTGAAATTTCCTTATAATTATTAGAGGACTTGTCTTGTCTAGAAATAGCAAACTTTAATGTTCTACCGTAGAGTGTTACTGAAGTAGAGAAAAGCTTCACAGCATAATTTGCAATCTCCTCTGTCTCATATTTAGCGAAGGCAAAACCTTTAGGCTTATAATTTTCCTTATCACGAGGAATGTACAAGTTAATAATACGCCCTGCTTGAATTAAAATGTCATATAATACACGATCGCTTACTCTCTCATCCAAATTTCCAACATAAACAGTGCAATTAGGGGTCTCAGCCATTGCTCTGAGAATGTTAATTAGTAGAATAAAAAGAGAGATGTATAAATAGGTTTTAATTTTAATTACCTATTACCTACTTCTAGATGGTTTAATATTCAATTTACAATTCGCTATTACCGATCAGGGATGTCCAATGAGATTTTGCCGCGTGTAATTGCAGAGGACCCCTTCTCCTGATTTGAGTTAATTTGGGAATTTGACCGCTTTGGAATGTGAAATGGTCGGGATGGGATTTCTCCCTTTTTAATGAGGTTTTGGATTTGAGTAAGGGAAATTTTCACCACATAAATGAGTAATTTAAAACCCGCAAATATCCTTCATATATTAGAGAAGGAAGGAACCTAAGCATAAATATATCGAACAAGAAATGGATATATATATAATTATAAAAGCACGAATACGATATTGATTGACAAAAATAATTCTAAAATAAAAATAAAAATTATAGGTTATTTTGGTAAACCATAATAGACATAGAGCTACCTTTGGATTTTGGTACCTAAAGATCCGCTACTAATTACCATCTACTTTGATTAGAAAAGTACATTAACAAAACCTAATAGGTTATATGCATCTCTGTTATGTTTTGATAATCTAACAAACTTAATGCTAAGAACCAGATAAGGAACCTGTTACACATAGTCCAGTACTTAAGATCAACAAGTCTCAAAGTCGGGGATATAGTTCAACTCTTCAGAGTCAGAGAAACAACAGAGGGAACAAATGAATATCAGTTCCCTTGGTGACCGTACCAGTCACCCAACAGCTGTAAAGTTGTTGCCTGCACATGCAATAGTGCAAAACAGTGCAACAATCAACTTCATTGGGAATGCTCATGTACCAAACATGCTTGCATCATTCAAATGATGTCACCAATGTTATATTAACATTAAGCTAAAGACAAAATATTACTTGAACATTTTTTGAAGAATCAATCCAGCTTTCTCTGAAGTCTGTGCATCAATCCAGCAATCAATTCTCAAGTGCTTCAAGAACAAAGAACTACATAACAAGGACCAGATCTGTGCATCAAGTCATCACATGTCCTTAGTTGTATTGTACCTTTGTTAAAGCTTCTTACTTGTAATTCCTACTTAGCTTGGTTAGAAGCAACTGTGTAGGAAACTTTTGTTTAATCATAAACTCTGTATTTGTGTCTTGGCTAGGTTTAGTCGAGTTGTAAGTCTTTGTAATATAGTTATTATAAAGTGGCTTGTAATAGAGTTGTTACAAGTTAGTAAGGGATTAATGAGTTAATTTCTAGGTTACAAGGGGTTGTAATCTAAAATTTGCTCAGTAGTGAAGTTGAAATCCTACAAGGGTAGGTCATGGTTTTCAATCCCGTGAGTTGGAAATTTTCCACGTAAAATTCTATTGTGTCGTTTACTTATTGTTGTGTGTGTTCTATGGGAACAGATAGAGAACCAGGTTCTCTATACAGTTTGGTGTACTCTTAGTTTATATTAATTAGTATCAGAGCGGGTTCTTTCTATCAGGCTAACACCTAGAAAGGATCCACATGGCTACTCCACCAAACTTTAAAGAAGGCCAATCTACCTACAGACCACCAAGGTTCAACGACCAATACTATGGATGGTGGAAGACAAGGATGCATGATTTCATCATGGCTGAAGATTCAGAGCTCTGGGACATTATATGCGATGGACCCTTCGTCCCTACGAAGACCATTGGTGACCCAGCAGTAACAGTTCCCAAAACAAGAAAAGAATTCAATGATGCTGATCGCAAGGCCATAGAAAAGAACTTCCGAGCAAAGAAAATTCTCGTCTGTGGTATTGGTATTGGACCAGATGAATACAACAGGATCTAAGTATGTCAATCTGCTAAGGAGATCTGGGAAGCTTTCCAAACAGCTCATGAAGGGACAACTCAAGTCAAGCAGTCAAAGATTGATATGCTTACCACAGAGTACGAGCTCTTCAGGATGAAGGACAACGAGCCCATCCAGGACATGCACATTCGTTTCACCTCTATCATCAATGAGCTCCATTCTGTGGGAGAAATCATTCCAAGGAACAAATTGTCCCGAAAATACTGAGTGTATTACCCAGTTCCTGGGAAAGCAAAGTAAATGCTATGACAGAGGCAAAGGATCTACAGAAGTTGACCATCGACGAGCTCGTTGGGAATCTGAAGACGTACGAAATAAAGAAGAAGAAGAAGAAGAAGAAGAAGAAGAAGAAGAAGAAGAAGAAGAAGAAGAAGAAGAAGAAGAAGAAGAAGAAGAAGAAGGAGAAGCAGAAGGAGAAGGAGAAGGAGAAGGAGAAGGAGAAGGAGAAGGAGAAGGAGGAGGAGGAGGAGGATAACGAGAGAAGAGAACCCAAGAAGGAAAAAAACCTGGTCCTCAAGACAGACAACAATGAATCAAGTGGTGAGAATGCTGATATGGCTTACTTGACAAAGAGATTTCAGAAAATGGTTCGGAGAAATGGAGGTATTGCAAAGCGGGGCAGGTCCAGCAAGCCAAGAGGATATGACTTATGTCATAAGTGTGAGGAGTCAGGGCACTTCATCAAAGATTGTCCTCTTCTCAAGCAAGATCAGTACAAACACAACTCAGACAAAGCAGCTAAGTAGAACCAGGTTCCTGACAAACGATTCAAAAGAAAAGGTGTTGCTGATAACGTTGTGAAACAAGCTCTTTCTGCATGGGGAGACTCCTCCAGTGAATCGGACGAAGATCATGACAAAAGTGACGCCTCCATGATGGCAGTAAAAAATGAAGCCGCTGGTGATTATTATAGTCTAGCTGATATTATTTCTTTACATTATGGAGTTAGGTTTTACCCGGCAAAAATTTTAACCTGTCATGTTCCTCTTAAGTTTACTTTTATCTTATATCTTTTTTTTACTTTGTTATTTAGCATAAATTAATAACTTTAGATTGGTTAAATTGTGAAAACGATGGATTTGAATCAAATTTCGATATGAATACTATTTCTTTTCACATGTATTTCTACCACGTTTATTTTTGCAAATCCTTCATGGGAAATTAAAACACAATAGGAGGGAAAAAAAACTTAGCCCAACGATAGATTTGTTAATTACACAATATAAATTTCTCTACTTTTTATGTATAACAACTTTTTTAGGATTTAGTTGATTCTTTAACAAAGTTCAAACCAAAATGAAATAACGGTGGAATTCTAGACTCGAAAAGAAAATATTGTAAGCGTAGGATATCTGGATATACGCTTAGTTTGTAACTATAAACTAATTTAAAATTGTGAACAACGTCTGTTGCTGCATATGATGCTCGATATGAAAATGTTTTGAGTTTTAGAAAATCTAATTAATATGACCTAACTACACTAACTATTTATAATGTACTAGGAGTATTAACTTAAGGGAAAAGAAAATCACCAAAGAGCTGGGGGCACACTAAACTAATTAACTATAGGAGCATAATAAATTTTGGGAGTGGAGTTTATGTAATTGAAAATTTTGAGTACTCCATTATAAGATAATTATTCTTACACATTCTTAAAAGAGTTTATAAGAACACCAAGCCTTACTATGATGAATAAATTAATGTGATATATATCAAGTGACACTACTTATGGGAGTACAATGACTCTAATCATAATGTTGCTTCAATTGATTTGAAAAAAAAAAATAGATGACATTACATCAATGTATGTACAAGAGTAATTAGAGTTTGGTTTTCAAATTAAAGGAGAATAAATATAGAGAAGAACAAGTTTAAATTAGACATGTATTAACTACCATAAAGAATCATAAATACGAGAC